TTAAGTTCATATCCCGAGGTACCACTGTATTTAGAATAGCGCTTGCTGTGAAACTAGTTTGCTTTATGTCTGAAAGCTCTTTGCCTGTTTTCAATCATTTGCAGTCCTGTTTACAAAATGAAATAAAGTTAATAAAATAGAAATGCTCTCAAATCACAATTAATCTGCAACCAATTGTTAGTTTGTCTCTCTTACTTCTTGCCTCTGTATAAATATAATCCTTTTAGCGATAGACAAAATACTTTTTCTTTCTTGAAGAAAAAGAACGCTGATCCCATTAAAAAGACAAAACAACATTGCTATTACCTGTCGATGCAGCCAGGCTGTGCTCTCATCCTCGTGTTTCTGAAATGAAGAAACATAATTAAAGTATTACACTGTACTTCACATTTATTATATTTTGCTCATCAGAGCAGAAAGCAATTTGACTCAGTTCCAACAGCGGATGAGCAAGAAGAGATGAACCATCTGAGCATGCTTTAAGGGAAGGAAACATGAAAGATACACATGCTGTTCTTGGTTTTGGCTCTTAGTTAAACAAGTGAATGCATTTACAGGACAGCAGTTATCTATGGAAAGATGCAAAATTCAGGGTGTCTCCTCGTTGGAGGAACAGGATGCTACTAGAGAGACAGACAGACTGATAGACAGGCATCTTATGGAGTAGAACAGTGTTTCCCAACCTTGGCAACTTTAAGATGTGTGGACTTCCACTCCCAGAATTCCCCAGCCAGCCAAGTGGAAGTCCACACATCTTAAAGTTGCCAAGGTTGAAAAACTTTGGAGTAGAAGCTGTACCAACAGCTCCAGATCCAATTTTTCTCCAATCTGAAATTTGTCCCAATCCTATTTCAAACTAAGAGCTAATTTGGTGCAGTAGTTAAAGGCAGTGGAGTAGGAGCTGAAAGTCAGCTGGGCGACCTTGGGCCAGTCCCTCAATCTCAGCCCTAGGAAGAAGACACTGGCAAACGACTTCTGAAGAATCTTGCCAAGAAAACTGCATGGAATTTGTCCATGTAGCCGCCAGGAGTCAGGGTTGATTTGAAGGACCTTAACAATAGGTCAATAAGGTTAATAGGGCCTCTATAAGAATGGAAGTTTGCATGGAGGACTTGATTCCTATGTTCTGTAACTGCAAGGGCAGGGGTGGGAAGATGCACGTCCCAATCTTCTGCCATGTAAAATATATCCAATAATATAAATGATATTACTTAATCCCAACACTGGAAAAGACATGTTAACACAAAGATAAGCTTATCTTGCTGGCGACGAATTGAAAGGGGCACAATCTTTCCCAGGATGTCTAGTTCCTGCATCTCACGTAGGAGCAGAACACAAATGGAATCTAACAGAAAAACCTGCAACGTCCTTTAAAATAATATTCTCATGCGCGGTGATCTCCCTGAATGAAAGGCAGCTGCAAAATTGCACGGTGCACCTTAAAGGTGGGGGGAAAAATCTCTATGGATGGGATACCCGTCAAGATTGGATTTTTTCTTCTTGTTTTCAGTGTAAATGACCTTTTCTGTGAGATTCCATTTTCAGACTTCAAAAGTGAAAACCAACTACTAATACCACGGAAAGAGAGATTGTTTAGATACTAGCATTCAGAGAGCTTTCCTCCTTGTTTTTTATTTATTTGATGGTATGCTGCAAGTTGTTTTGGGATTTGAAGTTAAAAAGCAGCCTTCGTCCACTGCAAATAAATGCAAATATATACCTTTGTGCAGACACCTGTGGTTGCATCGCAGAGAGTCAGGATAGAAACGTTCTGTGCCCTGTTTAGCCAGTTGACTGCAATTTTGGTGCTGGTTGCCCACTTCACCATGGTTATGTAGTACTCCCTGAAAAACAAACAAAGGCATTTAAAAACTTACATTCTACACACTTGGGCACTTAATAAAGCCAAACAAAGAGATACGACGATGCACTGATTCTGTTCCCACAAAGAATGACTCGTAAAGACCATGATACCGATGGTCGTGAATCATGGGGGTCCATTCCTAACCATCAAGGCGAATGAGTGACGTGCGTTTCATGAGGTTGTGATGCAAGCCCTGTTCATTGATATTTGTGTTATAATGTTGTACGCAAGGGGTGGAGCTTCCATCAACACAATGCACATTTGAGGACTTTTGCCCCACCTGGCAGATACTTGTGCTTTGAATTGAGTTCTCTTACCTTACTTGGCTAATTCCATGTATTTCTGGAAGAACCATGTGGAAGTGATCTGCCATTTCCACAAACATTGATGAGATAATACATTGGTTCATTTTTAAGGAGCCATTACACTCTTGGGATGGGAGGGGTTATCAAAATTCTAACAAGCTGTCCCTCTGAAAATCCACCAGAAAGATATATACAGTCCACCTTCCTTTACACTGTCGGGCAGAGATACAGATATTCCAGGATGCCATGCCCTAGTGTATGGGTTTTTCCATGATTTTCACACACATGCACACACACACCCTGAACACAGGAACATGACATCATGTAACAGAATCTCTGGGAGTTGGGTAGTGTACAAATTGAATGCATGAATGAGTGAATGAATGAATGAAAATAAACATCTCACAGCTTAAGGGAAAGTAGACTGTATATGCCCTTCTGATAACCTGTCTCCATTCCTTCCTGCAACCAATGAGCAGCAGGATAGCTCCTGAGGCTAATGTACTTGATCCAGTCATCTAAAGTGCAAAGGTTTGTGAATTCAGTTCGTAGTAGAGGGTTTGAACCCCATAGTTTGACCCCCTGGCCACCCACGTCTGATGAATCCCATTAGGATGAAACTGGTCACGTGGTGATGATTGGGGATCAATGCAACTGAAAACACCCTCTAAGAATTGAATTGGAAACAGACAAATCCAGGCACGACTGCTCTCAAATATGCATGCACAGAGGAGGCCTACAGTGTTTTCTCTGTGCATGCATGCAGAGCCTACAGATTCACATTGATGATGTTACCTAGCTGGGTCATGAAATGTCTGCAAGCAAACAGCCGAGCTCAGAGAGCGCCAAGAACTCCACAAAGCTTATAGTGGCCAGCAACAGATCAAAAGGTGAGCCTATCTTCTTGGTCTGGCTGGAATCAGGTACCATTCTAGCTTTTCCCTGCTTACAGCTGCCCCTAACAGGGTTCCTATGATCCTTTTATCATGCAACATTTTGTAATAGTCACTCCTCGCGTTGGCCTTTTCCCTCCTCATCCCACCTTCCTTTTGTTCTGCAAAAGGGAGATGCCTGTCATGTTAAATGTTAAATAAATAATTCAGCAATCAGGGGAACAGGCAAACAACATCTTTATTATCTCCCCTATCACTGTAAATTGTGAAGTAACAAATCACATGTCACCTGTAAACACACAGTTTATGCTTCTAGGTTGGTGATGCTATTGTTAATTCAGATCAGCTTTGTGCAAAACTCTGGAATTGTGCAGTTCTGGCCCAAATGGCTGAGATTACATTAGGCACCAATATGAATCAAGTGTTAAAAACAGGTGTTATGAATGGGGGAAGAGAGAAGCAAGAAAGCAGATTTTTCTCAAAAGTGTTGCTGAAGAAATAGATATCAATGTGGATTGTGACTTGTCTGCTTTTTAACCCCAGAAACAAACCCTAGAACAGGCAACAGCAAAAGGCTGCTGTCTCAGCACGCTAATGATCTAAAATTTGGTACAGGGGAAAATAATGGAGAAAAAGAAAGGAAGCAGAGACAGGATAAACAGGAAATTTTATGTCTGTCTGTCTGTCCGTCTGTATATAAAAATAAAAAATTACATGTATCAAGTTTTGATGATAGGCTCAGTTCTTCTAGTTCCTGGGATGTCTTCCACATCTAGTAAATGGTAATGCTGGAAATTTTAGTGATAGGACATATTTATTATGATTGGTTAGATTTCTATGCTGCCTTTTCTCTAGCAGCCCAAGTCAACACACATCAATCACACCACTCTGATTTTCCTCTGTAACAAGCAGATCGGGCTGAGAAAGAATGACCAGCTCTAAATCACCCAATGATATTAAATCGAGTAGACTCGATCCTGGATCTCCCAAGGCCTATTCCAACACCTGAACCATCCTGGTGACTCTCAATATATTTTAGTCTACAATGAGTCACCTCCAACTACCTTGAGCACATCTAATCACCTCTAGCCAAAATAGAGAAGCACCCAGAGACCAACAAAAAGCCTTAATAGGCTACAGAAAATCACAAGAGACTAATGTCTATTACAAGTTCCTTTAGTAGCTAAAAGGATGATCATGACTCTTGGTTATAAAAAGATAGTCCTCTATTTAAAATCCAGGTCTGGTTAAAAGTAAAGATTTTTTTTTAAAAAGGGAGAGAACCAGAACCTTGAAGTCTGTTAGCTGTGAACATCTAAGCAGCAAGCGGAGCAGACCCTCATCTTTCCCCATTGTAATAAGACAATGCCTTCTTAAATAATGACATTTTTTGCCTTTGTACATCTCACATATTCCATCTCACAAAGAAGATCCAAGTTTAGGGCAGAGTGTAAGAGCTTTGTTTGGTGTTAGACTTTTCTTTACTGTAATATCTGAGGCACAATTTGTGCAGCTTTTCTCTTTAGAACTGGGAAGGGGGCTTGGGATAAAGAAAGAGCCCTGCCAAATGGCGAGTTCGACAGACCATGCTGCCTGATCATATTCAAGCGGAATCCGCAGGTCAAAGCCATCTTTAAATTATCATACAATAGCTTTTCACACTGTGTACAGTCCATACAATTTTTATGAGTTCATTTGTTTGCCATAAAATATGCATAAGGAGCTGTTGCTCTCATGGCGATGAATGTGCTGCATCGCTGGAGAAAACGCCTGCGTTTGGAAGGGTTTGGCTTTGCATACCAAAGAGTCGGGGATCGAGAAAGGAAGATGAAAAATAATAAACCAGAGATTAATTCTGCAGCTGTCAGCAATGTTTAGCACAAGAATTTCAGCTGCAGAATGGGAGGACAGGGTATACTGAGTAAATTTAAGGACATTTGCCAAAGGAACTGAGAGAGGGAAGAAAAATGTAATCCCAAAGTGCAGGTTGGACAGCTTAAATCGTCTCTCTTACCCCAAATTCACCAATAGGATATTCTGAACAGCAGGCGGGTAGAATGAAACAATTCATACAAGCCAAGACAAATCATTGTCAGATCTTTTTCCCACCTGACCCTTTCTTCCAATGATCCAAGGCAATTGGAATACGGAGAATTTTCAGTGGTGCTTGAGGTCTATGTTTGTGGTAAATAGCAGTGAGAGAGGTGAAAACTAAGATTCTTACGTGACGAAGGAACCCCTTTGTATTGTTTCCTCCCCATGTGATTAGACGGAAACCTTGGGGTACAGTGAGGAACTAAGGGCAGATCTACACTTCCTGCTTGCCCCATTCTCAGTAGGGGCCACCAGCTACCTCTTGGTGCAGGAATGGATGACTTTATGTTGGTGGAGGCTTTCATGGCCAGTATCTGTTGGGCAATGTTGGGCTTCAGGGTTTAGTGACCATGGTCTAGACAACAGATTTCTTGTGTAGCAGACCACCTTGCCTCTGAAGATGACAGCCACAGTTGCCAACGAAATGTCAGGAAATCTGTTGTCTAGACCACGGTCACTAAACCCTGAAGCCCAACACTGCCCAATGGATGACTTTGTTTTCCACCCACTCCCAGCCCATCACAAATGCACTTTCCTGTTTTCCATCCAGAATGGTCTTAAGCCCTTCCATGTGGATGGGCTGCAGGCTTCCTTCTGATATAGTGACAGACACTGGCTACAGCACCTGGCACATTCCTCCCCTTCAGTGGCTGGTTGCTACCTTGTGCAACCATTTCATTCCAGGTTGCTCTACTCTCTGTTGATCAGGAGCTGCCTTTTCAAATTATCCTGCAGTTGCTCCAGCAATGACCCATTAAGTCAATGAACTTTCCTTGCCCTGTATTCTTCACTGCTTCTAAAAGCTCATTGCTCCATTCAACCCTTACAGCTCCCAGCGGGCACCCATTTGGTTTTTGCCCAGGCTAAGTGAAGCATGCTCCTTTGCTTTGCCTCTCTCTACTCACAGTACTGCCAATATTCCTATTCCTTCCCTCCACCCCAATATGTCAGTTGCAATGCATACTAATTCTATAAAGTTGCAATGCAATACATACGAAATCTATAAAGTTTCAGTGAATGCTACTGTAGTTTGCTTCGGTGAAGCGAATTATCAGTTCTCGTTTGCTAAAAATTTTCTATGGAATTCCTACTGTGGAATGTAGGAATGAAAGACTAAGATGTCCCCCTTTTGTCTGATTATTGTAGCACCAGAGCCAGGATGATACACTAAGGGAACAACAGAAAAAAGAAAATGTCTGAGATAGTGTCAAAGGAAAGAAGGTGGGAAGGTGGTGTGAAGGCATCCATGTGTGCAAACTGTGGAGTCCTTGGTGCTCTCTGAGCTCAGTTGTTGGCTTGCAGACGTTTCATTACCCAACTAGGTAACATCACCAGTGTGAGAGAGTGTGGGGTTTACTCCCTGTTTATATACAGTATCTTGCCCTGCCAGTTTTGGTAGGAGTAAGGTTTTCTCCTTGGTAGTTCCTTGAATAGGGTATTGTTTTCTGCTTGATTGTGTGCAAAACTCTGAGAAAGCCAAGGAAAGGCACAAGGACTAATGAGGAGGGAATGGGCCCTAAAATGAACAAGTGGGCACAGGGAGACCCACCCACATCACAGCCATCCAAAAACACTTGCCTTCTGTGTACAGATGGGGAAAGCAAGAAGCAGCAGAATGATCAATCAGGTTTTACAGTGGCTGTAGACAAGAGCACCAACCTGGCTTTGTTGCCAACCCACTGCAATCCACACTGGATTTTTTTTTTAAAAAAAAGCAGCTTCAGGAACAGCCAGAAGAAGTACTGAAACAAGCAACTTAGGCTGCAGTGTGGAATTGCCCTATGTCAATTTGAAACGAGGCAGTGTGTGTAACAAAATCATGATGCGGGATGAATGAATCTGACAGTTTCTGCATCCAGGGGTTCTAATTCTTCCACATTCATTCATACAGAACATTGCAGGATTTCTCTCTCCCCACCCCCAAATGAATCTCTGGTTCATTATCACTACTCACTAGAGATTAACTGGCAATTATCACAAAGCTAAGGATTTCTACTTTCATACATGTCTGGAGTAACCTAGATGACATCAATTCATACTTGCTGATACACATTTTAGCCCTTTTCATTCATAACTTAACTTACACCTTTACTTCTCTGCACATATTCATCAGCTCCACTCCACAAGATCAGACCACCTTCATTCAGATGATACCCTTCTTCTTTCTCTTAAGTTTCATTGACACACACCATATAAATTTTTCTTTCTTTCATTTCATTTGATAAGTCATGGACTTTACTATGGCTGGTGTGGGTCTTCCGGGCTGTGTGGCCGTGTTCTGGAAGTTTTGTTTCC